ATGCTGCTTGAAGTATTAGTAACTGTGGCAAAACAGTACTGGGACCATGTTTGAGGTACTCATCTATTCCCAATTTTGGAAGGCAAAAGGCGTGTTCTGAAGGGCTGTTGCAGCAGCAAGATGAGGGTTTTTAAAAAAAAGAAGTTTCAACTAACCAATCAGTTTCTAATGTTCTCTCCAAAAGAGATTTGTCTTCAAGTACAAAAACATTCTTTGCAGTCCTGACAATTGCATTGCATCAAATCACCGTGAGGGGGGGAAAACTTGATTCAGCTAGTGTTAATTAGTTGAAAACTTCAAGCAGATATCAAAACAAAAAATACAGCTGATTTTGCCTTGGTTTTTTCCTGTTGCTGGATGACAATGCTGCATTTCTGTATTTAATTTGAAGTAGCCACTGGCTGTAAGGGACGTGGGTGGCACTGTGGTCTAAACCACAGAGCCTAGGGCTTGCCAATCAGAAGGTCACCAGTTCAAATCCCCACGATGGGGTGAGCTCCCGTTGCTCGGCCCCTGCTCCTGCCAACCTAGCAGTTCGAAAGCACACCAGCGCAAGTAGATAAATAGGTACCACTCTGGCGGGAAGGTAAACACCGTTTCTGTGCGCTGCTCTGGTTTGCCAGAAGCGGCTTAGTCATGCTGTACACCGGCTCCCTCGGCCAATAAAGCGAGATGAGCGCCGCAACCCCAGAGTCGGTCACGACTGGACCTAATGGTCAGGGGTCCCTTTACCTTTAGCCACTGGCTGTAAGGATTATCTGCCATAATATGTAGTGCTTACCTCTGTCATCTGTGGTTTTGCCTACCGTTCTGTATCCTAGTAATCCGAAAATGGTAATCTGCCCCTTTCTGCAGCTGCTTAGCATACCCTCTGAATATCCGAATATCTTGCACTACAGCTCCAACAAGCAACAGACTGATGGAGGACTATAGTCCCAAGTCTCATGGAGGGCACCAGATTGGCCAAGGCTAGATTTAGTATGTTGAATTTTCAGTGCACACTGCCTTTTGCCATTAAAGAAAAGTGAATTGCTTCCAAGTTCCCCATGAGCTTTAGAATAAAAAAAATGGTTTATTTTTCCAGATCGCACTATTCTTTGTTAAAGATCCATACTTTCCCTGCTTGTTAGGTTCTCAAAGTCATCTGGTTGGTCAACGTTGGAAACCGGATGTTAGTCTTGACTAGGGATTCCCAAACTTGGGTCTCCAGCTGTTTTTGGACTACAATTCCTGACCACTGGTCCTGCTAGCTAGCTAATGCATTGAAATGAAATGGGGTGGAATAATGTAATGACAACGTAACTTACATAATTAGGTCAATTACGTAATTTGGCTACAGCAGCCAGTGAAATGAATAATATAGTTTTTGGCTGAAGTCGGCCGCAGAGGAATGGAAGCAGCGCTGCTTGTGACAAGTAGAGAGCAGAACAGAAAACTCTGTGTCTTCCTGCATCCCTACTGACTCGTGTAAGAAACTCTTAAGAAGCACATCTGGTTTCCATGCATCCCATTTGGTCTTTAGAAGAGGACCTCTGGGGAATCAAGATCTTCTAGAGAAAACTGAGCCAGAGGTGACATGATCAAAGCCCATCAAGTTATACGTGGCGTGGAGGAAGTGGATAGAAAAACCCACATAATATCCCGTTCCCCCCAAAATTGGCTCGGGATCAGGAGAACCCCTGAAACAGCACATGGGGGCGGGGAATAGAGTGGGTATCTGCACATGTGGCCAGCTGGAATGTTAGCACAGACGGGATAATGCAGCGCTGAATTGTCATAGCGCTATGTTGAATTGGGCATCCAATGAAACTGAAGGTTGGAAGATACAGGACAGAAAATAAAGAACTTCACGTGCCACATTTGAAACAATGGAATTCATTTCCTCAGGAGGCAGTGATGGCAAGCAGTTTGGATGGCTTTGAACAAGGACTGGACGAATTCATGGAGGGGAAGGCTGTCAATGGCTGCTAGCCACAATGACTATGGTCTGCCTCCACAGTCACAGAGGCAGTGATGTTTCTGAATACAGTGGTAAAAAAGGTAAAGGGACCCCTGACCATTGGGTCCAGTCGTGACCGACTGGGGTTGCGGCGCTCATCTCGCTTTATTGGCCGAGGGAGCCAGCATGACCAAGCTGCTTCTGGCAAACCAGAGCAGCGCACTGAAACACCGTTTACCTTCCTGCTGGAGCGGTACCTATTTATCTACTTGCACTTTGACATGCTTTTGAACTGCTAGGTTGGCAGGAGCAGGGACCGAGCAACGGGAGCTCACCCCGTTGTGGGGATTCGAACCGCTGACCTTCTGATCGGCAAGTCCTAGGCTCTGTGGTTTAACCCACAGCACCACCCGTGTCCCCTGTTCAGTGGTACCTCGGGTTAAGTACTTAATTTGTTCTGGAGGTCCGTTCTTAACCTGAAACTGTTCTTAACCTGAAGCACTTCTTTAGCTAATGGGGCCTCCTGCTGCTGCCACGCCCCTGGAGCCCGATTTCTGTTCTTATCCTGAAGCACTATTTCTCAGCGCAGTGTGTAACCTGAAGCATATGTAACCCGAGGTACCACTGTACCAGTAGCTAGAAACCACAGGAGAGGAGAGGGTTGTTGTGCCCTGCTTGTGGTCTTTCCATGGAGGCATCTCATTGACCATGGTTGAGGGCAGGGTGCTGGACTGCGATGGGCCATGGACCCGATCCAGCAGGCTCTTCTCACATTCCTATGGGACTTCTGCCAATGCCAACTTCAGGAACAAGGAGGGTTGCTGATGGAAGATAAACTGCAAGGATCGGATTAGACACACCCAGGCCATCAACCAAATCACAGCAGTTGGTCTAAACAAATTGAGAGGAAGGCAGCATGAGGGTAGCTCGCAGTTTCAGCGTGGTGAGTAATCTTGGTCATCTAAAGCATTTAGCCTGATGTTTCTTATCTGAAAAGAGAGCCGGTTCTTGGCTTTCTTCACCTGGCGTTGGGTTACTTAAACGGCTTGCGAGGAAAGGAAACATTCCTTCAAGGTTAAATGTCAGGTACTTACTTATTGATTCACTGAAATGAAGCCGGACCTCTTTCTCTCCTTTTCAAAAGACATGCCAGTTCCCTTTCCATCCCTTATACAGAAATAAATACTGTTTTTCACTTTTGGACAGTTGCTTATTCCTTTGTTCGAAAAGCCCATTCATTTCCTTTATTTGAGCCAGGTCAAAACATAGAGAGGCCTCCCACTCCAGCCTCACCCAGGAGTGCCAGAACCCTAACCTGGGGGGTGAAGCGAACAGAACAGGAAATCATGAAAACATCAATAATAATTTATTATTTATACCCCGCTCATCTGTCTGGGCTTCCCCAGCCACTCTGGGCGGCTTCCAAAAAAAATTTAAAATACTATAATACATCAAACATTAAAAGCTTCCCTAAACAGGGCTGCCTTCAGATGTCTTCTAAAAGTCTGGTAGTTGTTTTTCTCTTTGACATCTGGTGGGAGGGCCTTCCACAGGGCTGGTGCCACTACCAAGAAGGCCCTCTGCCTGGTTCCCTGTAACTTGGCTTCTCGCAGTGAGGGAACCACCAAAAGGCCCTCAGCGCTGGACCTCAGTGTCCGGGCAGAACGATGGGCGTGGAGACGCTCCTTCAGATATACTGGACCGAGGCCATTTAGGGCTTTAAAGGTCAGCACCAGCACTTTGAATTGTGCTCGGAAACGTCCTGGGAGCCAATGTAGGTCTTTCAAGACCGGTGTTATATGGTCTCGGCAGCCGCTCCCAGTCACCAGTCTAGCTGCCGCGTTCTGGATTAGGTGGCTTGAGGCATCTGCAAATATTCCAGAGTTATATGCGTAGTGGGGCATCCCATCGCTTTTCTCCCCCACCACCCCTGCGCTGAAAATTGGCTCGGGTGCTCAGGAGATCCCCCAGAACAGCACACAGGGGGACTTGAGTGGGGAATCATATGGTGATTAATACAGTGGTGCCTCGCAAGACGAAAAGAATCCGTTCTGTGATTCTCTTCGTCTAGCGGTTTTTTCGTCTTGCGAAGCAAGCCCATTGAAGGATTAGCGGATTAGCGCTATTAGTGGCTTTTAGCGGCTTTTAGCGGCTTATCTGCTGATCGGATCAGCTGATAAGCGGCTTAGCGGTTTAGAAAAAGGGGGGGGGAGGGGAAAAAACCAGCAGGAACTCGCAAGACATTGTCGTCTTGCGAAACAAGTCCATAGGAAATTCGTTTTGCGAAGCACCTCCAAAACGGAAAACTCTTTCGTCTAGCGAGTTTTCCGTCTTGCGAGGCATTCGTCTTGCGGGGCACCACTGTACCATGTGGCAAGCACAGACAGGATGTATGTCACAGCACAAAGCTGAATTACAGCAGTGGTTCCCAAACCTTTGCAATTCACTGCTCCCCTGGTTCCATAAACTCACCCCCAGTGCCCCCTACTCTGCCCTATAAAAAGCATGGTCCAGAACAGCAGTTTGCACAACCCACTAAGGAAGATAATAGTGACGCGCAGCGTAAATTAATGATGCAGAGTTTTAAAGAATAAAAGCTTTACTGAGTTAAAATAAACTTCTTCATAAACAACATGATTCAAACCAGTTTCCACACAGTGCCAAAGTCTATCACGTTTTAGAACCAGACTTCAAGCTTGAGAGCCCAAGTCAGGTAATTCTTACCATTCAGACGTTCCATCTGGGCAGTCTTGCCACGATTAATAAACTGCGCAGGTTGCTGAGCTGACATGGCTTCTGCTCCTTGCTGCGCTGCACCGGGTCTGCTTCTTCGGTACGCGGCCTCACCACTGGACCTTCAGTCCCTTCGAGGTCCTCACCAACAACACCCTGATTCTCCCGCTTTAGCAATTCGCCATCCATAAAACGCTGGGCCCATAACCTGACTAACTTTAGTAGGCCCAAATGATTATGCAGTCCCAGCACTTCCCAGCCTGCTTTGCTGCTTCTGCTCTCGTGTGTCTTTGTCACATGACAAATAGCACCATAAAATTCAAAACAGTAACAATTAATTGCACATTTATCCAAAACACACATAAAATGATTCCGTTTCATTCAACCAAAGTGCTTGATCCAGTGATGCCAGCTTTTCAAAGAGCGATAGTTATTTACAGTGCTTTTTTTCAGCCTGGAATGGGCCGGAGAGCAGTTCTTGCACCTCTCGGGTGGCTGCCATTGTGAGCCGGCGCTCCCCCTGCCTGCTTCTTGCCTTTACATACTTCAGAGAAGCCCAACATGAACATTTCAAGTCAAAATGGAAGCTGGCCAGTGTGTGCAAGTCTACACCTTTTTTCTTTTCAGATCTATGACGCTACTTGGCTCCTAGCCACAATTGGTCAAGCTACAGGGTGGGGCCAATTCATATTCCTTTTCTTCAATCCCTCTCCAGTGTAGTGGCGGCAGGATTTAAGCTTTCCAGCCAGGACTCTACCATTGCACGCATGCACATTTGCACGAGGACCCTTCCGAGCTGCCCTAGACATCCGCCTGAATCGAAGAAAACGAGGAAGGCAGGGCCTCGTTTATTTGAACTGCACCAGAACCAGGAGTGACCCCCAAACCAGCTAGGTTGACAGCTTGCTGTAGCTTTTAGCAGCTCTGCTAAAATGGTAACTCTCCACTCAACAGGTAATTATCTCAGGTAGCTGGGATGGGAAAAAGTCTCCACCAGAAATCGTGGAGAGTCGCTGCGACAACAGACTATACTCAGCTGAGCTGGAATAAAGGCTGTTAAATGTGCTTATCTCAGCAGAGCACTGCAGCAAAACCTGTGGTTCCCATGCAACTTAGTTTAGTTATTGACCAAGCCATGCCTATGGCTGAACCAGGGTTTTATAATTTTATTTTATTATTAAATTTGTATCTCGCCCATCTGCCCAAAGGAGCCCAAGGTGGCAAACATAGCAAATGTTAAAACAATTCAGTTTAAAATAAAACACATTTAAAACATTTAGAAACCATTTTAAACCGTTGAGAACATATAACAACATTGAAAAGCAATCACATTTCCCTCGCAGCTTCTAATTTCAAGGTCTCTTGGCCCTCAAATGCCTGGGTAAACAGGGATGCCTTTAAATTTCTCCTGAAAGTCGGGGAGGGAGGGAGAGAGAGAGACTCACCTGACCAGGGAAGGCATTCCACAAAGAGACCACCACAAAGAAGGCCCTGTCATTGGGTCAATGCCAACCAGGAAGCATCAAGAACAGGGCCTCCCCTGGTGATATAGTCACTCCTGCAGGTCCTTTGGTCTCGAGCCATTGAGGGCTTTGTAATAATACTTAGCATTGGTATAACACTTCCAAGTATGCCCAACGCTTCACACACCTACCCTGTAAGGTAAGCTGTTGAACCCGCCCATTTTGCAGAGCAAGAGAGAAGCTTGCGAGTCCATGGCAGAAGTGAGATGGGAGGGTGTCGGTCTCTTAGCCGCCATGACATCTCCCTTGTTGACTTTAAGGCTCGCTCCGTCTTCCTCGCCAACCTGACCTTCCTTCTGGGGACTCTCTGGCTCAGAACTCTCTATCAAAAAACTCGTCGAACAGAGCGATTCTCTCCGTCTTAGTCCTCACTAAGGCTGGTCTCCGGCGAGGTTTCCCCAAGTCGCCTTCCCAGTTCTCGGAGTCCGTGCTTGATGCATCCCAGAAAGATTCCCTTCTTGCCTGCTGCTTTAGCAACCACGTCTCCACTTTACCCCTCTGTCCTTGGTGGGGTTCAGAAGGTCCAAGCTCTTTTGGAAATTCTCCGCTCCACCGATCGCCTAATAAAAAGAAACAGGAAGCTCTACTGCACTGGGTATCTGGTCGCCACAGGAAGCTTCATAACAACACTGTAATGGGTTTGGCTACCTTGGAGTGGCTCATCGATTGCAGTAGTTTTGCCTAGAGGAAGAGTGGGGAATCCCAAGATTGGGGGCTCAATGCGGCCCTCCAGGGCTCTCTACCAGGCCCTTGGAAGTGCCCCCAGGCCCCACTGGTGTTGTTTTCTACCTGAAATGTGTTTGCTTGCTTGGAATGTGTCCTGGAACTCTGAGAATGCCTCTTCCTTGCCTCGGTGGAAGCCAGAGCAGGGGTGTTTGGATGTGTGGGCAGAAACTAGCCTTCAGTACAAATTTGCATCCATTGATCCGCCCCCTTTCGCCTCTGGCCCCACCCACCCCTGGTGCATGACCCTGGGAAGGATGCCCAGAAACAAATGTGGTCCTCGGGTGTCAGGAATGAGCCAGCGCCAAGCGAAAGTTTGCAGCTAGCTGCAGAAAATAGCCAAGATCAGAGATGTTGCTTTGATGTTAGTCAGACAGAGGAAAGCTGCATACTCCGGCTCCTCCTGACCTTGACGTGCAAGCTGATAAGACAGTAACAGAGAAGAGGCTAGAACGCAGTCAATGCTTGCTGGAAGCACAAACAGGCAGGAAAGAGTTAAGAGACAGCCTCTCAGAGAATGGGGAAGAGGTGGGAGCTGATCCCCTTAGTCCGAGGTCTAGGCGAATGGGAGGGTTGCAAGATAGGAAGTAAAACACAAGACATAAGAAGCGAAAGTTCAGTTGCTTCTGGTCATGTGGGAGGCAGTCTTCAGAAGGGTCATCTTGACTGATAATGGCGGCAGCCGTGTTAAGTCATCTGGAGCTATCTGATTTGACAATAAATCATCCTTTTTAATTAACTACGCTTACTGTGTTATCAAGCCGAGGACTGGACTTCTGACACTGGAGTGGAAAATATTTTCCCACCTTCTGCCTTGTCGCCCGATGGCAATCAGGAAAGTCACAAAATGGCACTTGGTGACTTGTGGGCATTTGTCCTGAATGCCAATATATCTTGCAGCTCTGGGACTTGCTGACTGATCAGCATATGTAAATGCAATTACCGGACGAAACGTCCTTACGTGTCCAAATCTGGCACGGCTCAGTCTTTTTGTGGGAGGTGATGCTAACTTAACAGTTCAAATAACTTAACAGGACACTGACAAACTGGAACGTGTCCAGAGGAGGGCAACCAAAATGGTCAAAGGCCTGGAAACGATGCCTTATGAGGAACGGCTAAGGGAGCTGGGCATGTTTAGCCTGGAGGAGAGGAGGTTAAGGGGTGATATGATAGCCATGTTCAAATATATAAAAGGATGTCATATGGAGGAGGGAGAAAGGTTGTTTTCTGCTGCTCCAGAGAAGCGGACACGGAGCAATGGATCCAAACTACAAGAAAGAAGATTGCACCTAAACATTAGGAAGAACTTCCTGACAGTAAGAGCTGTTTGACAGTGGAATTTGCTGCCAAGGAGTGTGGTGGAGTCTCCTTTGGAGGTCTTTAAGCAGAGGCTTGACAACCATATGTCAGGAGTGCTCTGATGGTGTTTCCTGCTTGGCAGGGGGTTGGACTCGATGGCCCTTGTGGTCTATTCCAATTCTATGATTCTATGATTTTAAATCTCTTAAGGAGTTCTCTTTGACTAGCGGCCAGGCTCATAGTAACAAACTATCGGAAGGATCTGGAGCGTGCTTCTTTGACAAACTGTTACCCTAAACTACAGTGGACACTCGGGTTGCGAACATGATCCGTGCGGGAAGTGGTGCCTTAATTATAGGGCAGTTGCAGCAGTGTGAACCACAGAAGGTTGCTTAAACCGGAAAACCTGCTCAGCTCCCCAGTATCTCTTACCATGATCTCCGTCAAATGTCTGGTCACGCTCCAGGGCAAGAAGCTCCTCATCTTCGGAGCTATTATTCCCCGGCACACACCCAAGAGTTTCGCTGATGCTGAGGTCCCTCGCTTTTGGCTTGTTAAGTCTTGCCTCCTCCTGCAAGCATCTTTTCAGTTCTGCCTGGGTTAATAAATAGCTAGTTATATGCACAGAAGGGCCTTAAAACAGGTCTAGCAGTCTTTCGCTCTCCCCAGGGGAACCCGGGAGCTGTAGTGCAGCTGCCGGAGGGCTGCGATCGGAATCCTCCCCAAACTACAGTTCCCATGATCCTTTGAGGGATGCCGCGCCAATTCAGGAGGAATAAACTTGACCTTCATTTTTGCATCCAAAGAATGCAGCAGGTCGCTCGCTCTAACTAAAGGGTGGCTCAGTGTTTGAACTGCAAGCATTATTGCAGTTTTGAAAAGAAAATAGGCTTCCTGCTTCAGAAAGAATAAGAATAAGAATAATTATTATTTTGATTTTATTCCCTTCACCCTAAGGTCTCGGGGCAAGTCGCAACGAACACAGGTCGCAATTAAAAACAGATTGCAATGCTGTTTTAACCCACGTGTGCATTTAATTGGTAGATTATTTGACTTTGGGTGGAATTCAAAGTAGTGCTTCATTGGCACAAAGATTTCTGCTTGCCTGGTGAAACGATCACCCCTCTCCTTCCCCCTGTGTGCTATTCTGGGTGTTCTCAACTTCCTGGAGCCAATTTTGGGGGGGTGCAGTGCGGGGAGGAGAGAGGAGACAGCTCTATTACACTCACACACGTTGTTGCATTGGCTGCCGCTAGCACAACTATGTAGCTGGATCTGGCCCTAAGGATGCAGTCCTATGGAGGTTACCTGGGAGTAAATCCCACCAAACCCACTTCTGATCTTGGGCCTGTATAAAAGGTAAAGGGACCCCTGACCATTAGGTCCAGTCGTGACCGACTCTGGGGTTGTGGCGCTCATCTCGCTTTATTGGCCGAGGGAGCCGGCGTACAGCTTCCGGGTCATGTGGCCAGCATGACTAAGCCACTTCTGGTGAACCAGAGCAGCACACAGAAACGCCGTTTACCTTCCCGCCAGAGCAGTACCTATTTTATCTACTTGCACTTTGACGTGCTTTCGAACTGCTAGGTTGGGAGGAGCAGGGACCGAGCAACGGGAGCTCACCCCGTCGTGGGGATTTGAACCACCGACCTTCTGATCGGCAAGTCCTAGGCTCTGTGGTTTAACCCACAGCGCCACCCGCATCCCTCCTATGGAGGTTACCTGGGAGTAAATCCCACCAAATCCACTTCTGATTTGGACCTGTATACAGTCGCACTATAAAAAAAACTTAAATCGGTCAAATAAAACGATTCAATTAAAATCTGTTTAATTGAATTTACTTCTCTACAATTAATGGAACTGATAAACAACTGAATGTCGTAAGCCTATGGTTATGGCAGTGAATCCATTCAGAAAGATACCATCTCTTATCACAGTCCCTCCTGCAGTGGTGTTCTCTAATGCACAAAATGGAAGTTCCATCATTTTACTTAATTATCCACGTTTCCCTCTTGAATCCACCAAGTGCATCCCATGGCCATTACCTCTTTCCTTTGTTCCAGCATCTTCATCTTCAGTAGATACTGCCGTCTTCCAGCGGGGTGCAGAACAGTCTTCCCTCCTTTATCTTGCTCCTTCCAAGGGAAAAGGAGGGGGAGGAGACCCATATTTCGCAAAACAAACTCATGATTCCATCACGATCCTATCCATCACTCGTTGGGCAAGGTGAACAAGGGTATTTGTAGCTGACGCAAAAAACACGCTCGACTGGTGTTCTATTCTTATGCTCTCTAAAATCAAAGATTCTTGGGCGGTGATATAAGGATGATGGATCACTCTGTTTCTGGTCTGTTGCAGGTTTGCATGCGTACATTCATAAATCTGATCCATCCGGTTTCTGCATTAATCTGTGGGTTTTTATCTTTCTTTTTGTTAAAAAAAGCCCACAAGGAAATTCTTATTTAAATTCATACTTACATGTGCATTTACTTAAATCCATGCATCTAATCTCCAAATACATTCATTCCTAAATGTGTTTTATCCTAAAATGCACACCTTTTAAATGTATTTGGGGGTGAGAAATGTATTGCAAAATTCAGAGAAATGTAAAAACCAAAGGATCGTTATGTTCCAGTCTGTGACTTAGGGCCAGGAGGTGCAAACGAGACCAATTTGCTTTAAAATGCAAAAAAAAAAATTAGCATAGTTCTTCCTGGGAATGGGCAAGCAATGGGCATAGGAATTGGTTTGCTGAAGCAAAACCTGGTCCAACTAGTGAGTATTTGCAACCATGGGACATAGGAAGCAGATTCCCACGCTAAAGTTCTACATATTATGTCTCTGGAGGAAGTATGTGTTGACGATGATTAAACTGAAAAAGATTGAAGCATTAGCCTAAATTAGGATAGTTTAATCTCCTCCCTAAGAAGACGGAACGGAAATCAAACAGCCCTATTGGATGGGAAGACCATTCTCTGTCTCAAACTTGGGTCTCCAGCTGTTTTTGGACTATAATCCCCATCATCCCTGACCACTGGTCCTGCTAGCAAGGGATGATGGGAGCTGTGCTCCAAAAACAGCTGGAGGGCCAAGTTTGGGAAACCCTGGTCTATCTGGAAAAGGGAACATCTAGCCTTCCAGGTGTTGCTGGACTCCCAGCACCCCTGGCCAGCATGGCCAATGGGCAGGGATGATGGGAATTCTTGGCGAAGCAGAGCAGTGCATGGGTTTGATACGGTTCTTCCATGGCCAGAATGTTAACCGCACCTCCTTAAAAACTGCTAACTGCAGCATGCGGTTGTTCACTAAGATTACCCTGTACTTATGGCATAAACGTTTCCCTTCCTTCCTTCCTTCCTTCCCGAACTTCTACCAACCTTTGCTCTGTATATTGCTCCTCCACACGGCAGGCTTAAGAACTTGTCCGCAGGGATGTCCTTTGCAAGAATGAAAGGCTCCAACTTCTGCAAAGCCGAGAAGAGAGAGTTGGACTGTTCAAAACTGTTTTGCTTTGAGATATTTGAGGGTTTTTGTTTTGTTTGCAACCAATCAGCATATAAATGAAATAGCGGCCGCTGAGACCACATAACACTGGTCTTGAAAGAAGAAGAAGAGTTTGGATTTGATATCCCGTTTTATCACTACCCGAAGGAGTCTCAAAGCGGCTAACATTCTCCTTTCCCTTCCTCCCCCACAACAAACACTCTGTGAGGTGAGTGAGGCTGAGAGACTTCAGAGAAGTGTGACTAGCCCAAGGTCACCCAGCAGCTGCATGTGGAGGAGCGAGGAAGCGAACCCGGTTCACCAGATTACGAGACTATCACTCTTAATCACTACACCATGCTGGCTCCCTTACTAGGAGCCATGCTAATCTTCTCTGTATCGTTCCAATTTTAGTATATGTACTGCTGAAGCATTGGCTCCCAGTAAGTTTCCGAGCACAATTCAAAGTGTTGGTGCTGACCTTTAAAGCCCTAAATGTCCTTGGTCCAGTATACCTGAAGGAACGTCTCCACCCCCATTGTCCTGCCCTGACACTGAGGTCCAGCTCTGAGGGCCTTCTGGTGGTTCCCTCACTGCGAGAAGCAAAGCTACAGGGAACCAGGCAGAAGGCCTTCTCGGTGGTGGCACCCGCCCTGTGGAATGCCCTCCCATCAGATGTCAAGGAAATAAACAACTATCTGATGTTTAGAAGACATCTGAAGGCAGCCCTGTTTAGGGAAGTTTTTAATGACTGATGTTTTCATGTATTTCATGTATTTTTAATCTTTTGTTGGAAGCCAACCAGAGTGGGTGGGGAAACCCAGCCAGATGGGTGGGGTATGTATGTATGTATGTATGTATGTATGTATGATAAACAGGACAACTAGAACTCCCTTCTTAATCAGTGTTGTTTTGTGCGTTGGTTCTGTATGTTGTCACTGTCTCCCAAACTTTGCAAATTTTACTCTCAGATGCCTCTTCAGAAAAGCATCTGTGTCATCTGCCCAGCCCTGAAATGACTCTGAGGTGGCCAGGGGACGGGACCCAGAATGGAGGGTGGTGAGAGGCGGCAAGACCTTTCTGGAGCCCTTCTGAGCTCCTGAGACCTCGAGCGCCCACCAGAGCAGGTACCTTTCAGGAGAGGAGTGCTTTTCAATATTTGTATACAGTGTTGAAAGGAAACAGCTAATCAGTGGGATCGGAAGAGAGATAAGGGATGCTAACAGAGGCTGCCTGGGAGGGGGGAGGGAAAAGCCCATGGATCCTCAGGATTTTTACATTGGGTCACCCCAAAGTCATCCCAAATTCACCATCAGATCACATAGCATGGCCACAACCTGCACCAAAAAAATCACGCACCCAGTGTTGTGTGGGGCCGCAATGGCACAAAAACGCGGTTACAAAGCACAGATCCACATGGATTCTCAAGATTTTTGCATTTGTTGTTGTTGTTTAGTTGTGTCCGACTCTTCGTGACCCCCTGGACCAGAGCACGCCAGGCACTCCTGTCTTCCACTGTCTCCCGCAGTTTGGTCAGACTCAGGCTGGTAGCTTCGAGAACACTGTCCAACCATCTCGTCCTCTGTCGTCCCCTTCTCCTTGTGCCCTCCATCTTTCCCAACATCAGGGTCTTTTCCAGGGAGTCTTCTCTTCTCATGAGCTGGCCAAAGTTTTGGAGCCTCAGCTTCAGGATCTGTCCTTCCAGTGAGCATTCAGGGCTGATTTCCTTCAGAATGGATCGGTTGGATCTTCTTGCAGTCCATGGGACTCTCCAGAGTCTCCTCCAGCACCAGAATTCAAAAGCATCCATTCTTTGGTGATCAGCCTTCTTTATGATCCAGCTCTCACTTCCATACATCACTACTGGGAAAACCATGGCTTTAACTACCGTATTTTTTGCTCTATAGGACGCACTTTTCCCCCTTCAAAAATGAAGGGGAAATGTGTGTGCGTCCTATGGAGCGAAGACGCCATAGCCCCGTGACCCTCTCCTGGCTGGAGAGGTGACACGCGGCTATGGCAGGAGCCTCTTTAGCCGCACGCCACCTCTCCAGCCGGGAGAGCGTGCGCGGGGCTAAAGAAGCCATAGAAGCTTTCTGCTGCTCCCCGACCTGCTCTTTGGGGCTGGTGGTGGGCTCCCCGCCACCAGCCCCAAAGAGCAGGTCGAAAGGAACCTGAAGCCTGGAGAGCGAGAGGGGTCGGTGCGCACCGACCCCTCTCGCTCTCCAGGCTTCCAAGGTAGCCGCCTGAAGGCGACTGAACGCGCCTTAAACGGCACCTTGTTTTAGAGGGGGAAAACAAGAGGGGAAAAATTCTCCCCCTCTCTGTGCAGCGCCTCCTGCCGCTTCGCTGAAGGGGCGCTGGGCAGAGAGGGGGAGATTTTTTTTTCTTGTTCTCCCCCTCTAAAACAAGGTGCGTCCTATTGTCTGGTGCGTCATATGGTATGAAAAGTATGGTATACGGACCTTTGTTGGCAAGGTGATGTCTCTGCTAAATTCACCGTCAAATCACATGTCTGTGGCCACAGCATGAACCACAAAAATCATACATCCGCTGTTTCGTTCAGAATATATTTTTTTCTTGTTTTCCTCCTCTAAAAATTAGGTGCATCTTATGGTCAGGTGCATCTTATGGAGTGAAAAATACTGTACCTTGCAAGCCCACGGAGGTTTAGGATCAGTTTTCCTTCCCAGTTGGACGAGCCCCATCTGTTCCTCTGCAGAAACTGCCTTCTGAGTGTGGACACTAGGTGGCAGCACCTAACACTGCAAAGCTAACTCCTCTTCAAACCATTTTGCCCAGGAACCCTGGGAGGAAAATCTGCCAGCTGCTCCGTTCAGCTGGAACGCTCTTCACAAATCATAACTTTTCCGTACACATAAGAACATAGGAAGCTGCACTGCACTGACGGGCAGTGGCACTCCAGGGTTCCTGGCAAGGATCTCTCTCAGCCCTACCTGGAGATGGCAGGAATTGAACCCAGCACCTCCTGCATTTAAAGAAGGTTTTCTGCCACCCAGCGGCAACCCTTCTTTTTAGGCATACGCAAAAACATAAAAGGGCTAGACCAGACCGGGCAGGGGCTGGATCACTCCCGCAAAAATCCTCTGTGGGCCGGGCCGGTGCAGCGCGACGCCGGAAATTGTGTCTGCGCATGCCCGTGGCACTGGAAATTGCTTCTGCGCATGCTCAGACACCGAAAACCGCACCTGTGCAGAAGTGATTTCCGGAGCTGTAAATGTGATCAGTTACAATAAAGAGTGAACCCAGAGGCCTTTCTTCTTGGAATTACAGGTTTAGAATTGCCCAAGAAAAATGTTAAATTATTTTTGTATGCCACAACGGCTGCCCGAATATTACTTGCTAAAAATTGGAAAACACAAGAACTACCAACAGTGGAAGATTGGCAGATGAAGGTGATGGACTTTTCGGAGCTAGCTGACCTGACTGGAAGAATCCGTGACCAGAAAGAAGAAGAGTTTCAAGAGGACTGGAGGAAATTCAAGGACTATTTGAATATTGTAATATAAAAAATTAGAAATTACTTGAAAGAAACAAATCGGCCTAGGATTAAATTAAGTCATAATTAAATAAATGGGATTTAGAATGTTAAGAAAAGTGAGTAAGATGGACTATAATTGGAAATTGTTTTAGTTTAATAATGATATTGGAAAGCTGTTACTTTTAATTACAAGGAAACTCAGAAGGGGGGGATTTGAGGAAGTCAACCAAGATGGTTAAAAGGTTGGATTTGTGAAGAATTAAGTTTGTTGTTATTGTTTATCTGTTTATTGTTCCCCCTCCCCCCTTTCTTCTTCCCCCCCCCTGTTTTTGTGTATCATCTTGCTTTGTGGTTTGTGTTATCACGGTGGAAAATTTAATAAAATTTATTATATAAAAAAAAGAGGGAACCCTCTGCAGGGAGGAGCCCTGGACAATCCCACACTCATTTCCTTTGTAACTTTCCCAGCTGAAAAAAACACCCTATTTTGGTTTTGCTTTGGCCAATTGGTTTGTATCGCTAGGGTCTCAAACATTTATCCCTGTGCTTTTAATGTTCTTTGTGGCAGCCGCCCAGAGTGACTGGCCAACCCAGTCAGATGGGTGGCATTTAAAATGGACGGTGCTGGTGATGATATAACTTTCTAGCTGCCTGATCCGTGTGTGTGAATAAGAAGGGCTTCGATTCTGCTCCAGACTGCACCAGAGATCCTCACACACAGCTGTGGGGAATCTGCGTGGGATTCAGGGCCAGAAGTCCTCCTGAGAACGCCTTTTGCAGTCTTCTTTCAGCCTTCTCACCGCTGAGACTTTCAAAGCCCGAGGAAGTAGGCCGAGCGAAAGGAATCAGCAAGCCAGCTAAAAGCATCTGGTGGGATCTCACATGAAAAGGGACGACGCTGCCTGGAAGAAAAGGCAAAGGAGCAATAGAGAGGCAGCCCTTCAAATGGATCTTGTCAAGTCAAAGAACGGTAACGGGGATCTCTCCAGGGAGAAGATTCCCACAGGCTTCCGCATCATTCGATTTGGCTTTGAGGGACGTTTGCTGGGACGCGGGCCTGTGAATTTCAATCTCAACTGCGCAACGGCCGTTTTAAGGGACCGATGGTGCAATTATTGCCTTCGGGGACCTGTCATCACGAAAGCTACCCGTTAGCTGCTGCACTAACCATGTCACCAAATTAACTTCGGCGCAAGTGCTAAACTGGATAGCATGCCAGGGAACTTGAAAGCATGAGTGTCACATTTCCTTCTAGGCTTTGAAAGAGGATTCGGCAAATTCATCGAGGAGAAGCCCATCGGCGGCTTCTAATTAATAGACGTATACAGCTATGGTTTTCCCAGTAGTGATGTATGGAAGTGAGAGCTGAACCATAAAGAAGGCTGATCGCCGAAGAATGGATGCTTTTGAATTATGGTGCTGGAGGAGACTCTTGAGAGTCCCATGGACGGCAAGAAGATCAAACCTCTCCATTCTGAAGGAAATCAGCCCTGAGTGCTCACTGGAAGGACAGATCCTGAAGCTGAGGCTCCAATACTTTGGCCACCTCATGAGAAAAGAAGACTCCCTGGAAAAGACCCTGATGCTGGGAAAGCTGGAGGGCACAAGGAGAAGGGGACGACAGAGGACGAGATGGTGGGACATTGTTCTGGAAGCTATGGACATGAGTTTGACTAAATTGCGGGAGGCAGTGGAAGACAGGAGTGCCTGGCGTGCTCTGGTCCATGGGGTCACGAAGAGTCGGACACCACTAAACAACAACAACAATATTGCACAAGTTATGTAAATTCGCCACAGCGGGAAGTGAGATGAATTGAGTGGGGTTTGGCGGGAGGTGAACTGCAGCAGAACGGAAATGGCGGTGCGCTTGACAGATACAGGGTAGAAAGGAGAATGATGCCTTCTAACATCCCGAGCCGAGAGCCTTGGGCCACGTTCAGCCAGTTCCACCCCTCCTCACTAGTCATGGACTAGCTGGATGCTGAGGAGTGGGGGGGGGACACCTGCTGGGGAACCCCCAAGGGAAGAAGGCTCAGAGCCTGGGGAGTGGTGATGGGACAACAATGAGTGGTCAGAGGGAGAAGAGGGAGGAGACTGGGAGGAGGAGGTGTCAGCAGCTGAAGGGGTAACAGGACTTAGTGAGCAGGATGAGTCTGTGACAGAGCAGTCCAGACTCAGAGGCAGGTGTCAGGGGCTGGACTGAGGAGGAATGGTGGGGAGTGCCCCGATTTTTCTGAACCTTCCCCAGAACAGGCGGACATTATAGATTTAGAACAGTGGTTTGCAGAAGGGCATAGTTCAGAGGTTGCAGAGGGCAGAAGCTGGGAAATATTGGAAGAGGAACAGCAAGAAGAATATCATGGAACTTTGAAGTGTCAGGCATAGCCCTATTGGCTTTAGCCCAAACGTAGCAGAGTTTTCCTGCACAGCGAGGAAGCTAGTTGCGGTGGTAATGACTAGTCAGCTAGACTCAGAATAACTATTTACAGGATTTATTAAAAGGAAAAAATAAAACCAGCAGAGTTTCTGCATACAAAACAAAGCAAAATAAATCCTTTCTTTCTCTCTCTCTCAAAACCATACACAGCACTTCTACTCCAACTCCTAACACACCTCACATCACACTGTGCTAGCAATCCTAGATAACAGAGTTGAGTGCTGGTTGTTAACCAATCAGAGTAAGTAGTTTCTAGGTCAAGCAGACCTGGCCTTTCTGCCAAGAGTAAATTGACACTGCCTTGAGTTAATTGTGTGAAGCCAGAATCTGTAAGTTTCCCATGAGAATCAATTAACAGAAACTGAACAGAATAAGAAGCACCAGGGGAGAGACAGCTGACAGACATCATCATCATCATCATCATCACCATCATAATTTATTACTTATACCCTGGGTGGCTCCCAATATTATTAAAAACACAATAAAACATCAAACATTAAAAACTTCCCTAAACAGGGCTGCCTTCAGATGTCTTCTAAAATCAGATAGTTGTTTATTTCCTTGACATCTGATGGGAGGGTTCCACAGGGCAGGAGCCACTACCGAGAAGGCCCTCTGCCTGGTTCCCTGTAATTTTGCTTCTCACAGTGAAGGAACCGCCAGAAGGCCCTTGGAGCTGGACCTCAGTGTCCGGGCTGAACAATTGGGGTGGAGACGCTCCTTCAGGTATACTCCGTGTCCTTGAAAAACATTCCTGACCCCCTCGCCCAAGTCCAGACATGTATTGAAGGTAGTAGAACAGAGAGCTCAGAGGCAGAAAGCTCAGATTAGCTGATGTAGGAGTGACATAGAATAGGGAAGACGTAGGAGGCTTGGACTTTACTTAGAGCAATGGCATTATTAGGGAAGGGTGCATTCCCCTGCCGCTCTCTGTGAATCATTGAATAAATTGCTTGGTAAGAACTTTTATCGTTTCTCTGCTTCTTGGCTGCCACAGTGGGAGGAATATGATTCCCTGAAGCCTGACAGCAGGAGAAGAGAGGGGCCAGGAGACAAGAGATGAGGCAGGCTGCTGAAGAAGTCAGGGGGTCTCTCTCTCCTGCTGCGACCAGCACCCTTCCCCACTGGTCTCCCAGGACCAGAAGAGGTATGAAGAGGGCAGGGCAGAGACAGATGCCTCAACCAAGTCTTAGACTGCTTGGGAAGGACCCAGGAGAGGAGGAGACTTAGATGATGATGATGATGATTTATTACTTATACCCCACCCATCTCGCTGGGTTTCCCCAGCCACTCTGGGTGGCTTCCAACAAAGGTTAAAAATACATTAAAACATCAGTCATTAAAAACTTCCCTAAACAGGGCTGCCTACAGATTTCTTCTAAAAGTCAGATAGTTGTTTACAGTGGACGCTCGTGTTGCGAACGTGATCCGTGCGGGATGCATGTTCGCAACCCACAGCATTCGCAACCTGCGTCTGTGCACACGCGGGTTGCAATTCAGTGCTTCTGTGCATGCGCAAAGCGCGATTTAGCCCTTCTGCACATGCGTGGCCACTGAAACCCGGAAGTAACCTGTTCCAGTACTTCTGGGTTTTGGCGGTCCGCAACCCAAAAAAATGCAACCTGAAGCGTCTGTAACCCAAGGTATAACTGTATTTCCTTGACATTTGATGGGAGGGCGTTCCACAGGGCGGGTGCCACTACCGAGAAGGCCCTCTGCCTGGTTCCCTGTAACTTGGCTTCTCGCAGTGAGGGAACCGCCAGAAGGCCCTCGGAGCTGGACCTCAGTGTCCAGGCAGAACGATGGGGGTGGAGACTCTCCTTCAGGTATACTGTGGGAAGGCCCCACAACTGCCTCATGAGGCAAGATCTACCGAGATGAGTTGCTGTGCTTCGTAGGCCTGGCCTACTGAGCTGTTTGTTTATTTGAATAAAGAGTTAATGTCACAGGCGCCGTGTGAGCTATTGCTGACCTGTTCCTGGCACTTGCCCCTGACGTCACTGGCCTGCTCTGCCCCCTCTTACCTGGGGTCTTCGGGGAGGGTGCTGTTTGATGATGCTTTGTCCTCCCACTTCCATCTTCAGGTCTAGCGGAACGGACCTCGGCACTGAGAAAGAGGGAGGAAAGAGGAGCATCTTTGTCATGGGAGTTTCTGCGAAAGGCTTTTGAATAAATAAATAATAATATTTTAAACATTTTTTCCCCTGAAGTGAGGGATGAGGAACCCAACCTACTCAATACCCTCCAACATTTCACTGCAGAAGCTAAAGGAATCGGGGGGGGGGGCTGCCCATCCTGTGTTTGCATCAACATATAATTTTTACATCAATTTTTAAAATAATAATAATAATAATTTATTATTTATATATATATATTTTCCAAATAATTTTTATTGGCTTTTCACCTTTTATGAGTACAAAACACACACAGAGAAGACAAAAGACAAAAACATGTATAATTTCAGAAAATCCTACTTTCTTAACCTTATTCCATGACTTCCCCCCACCCCCCTTCATGCATCCCACTTCCCATAATTGTGTCAGCATATTGGTATTTCTCCTCTTAACCATCTTCATAATACCTCTTTTATTAAAGAAAAAAAAGAGAAAAAAAAATTTCTAAGTTGGACTCAGATTCCCTTCCATCGATTTCCCATTTTGTCTTAAGTAAAGGTCAAATTAACTAAACCCAAAAGTCCTGAGTGTTTTTGACGTTCTATTCTTCCCTCCCTCCCATCCCCGGTTTTCGTCCCTTCCCCAGTACATGTCCAAAATAACAGTTCTTAGCCTGGATTCCTCACGTCCGAGGCTTTCAAATTTCTTTCAGTCCCTCTCCGCCGGTCTTGTTGGTAGTCCTTTATATTGGTCATCAAATCTCGAAGGAGTTCTGTCCCCATCAAACCAGGTTCTCTTCCCACAAGGGCATTTGAAAACAACTGCTGCAAAGGTTCCGCAGGCCATGCATCTTCAGAGTCAGAGTAAAGGCCCCAATCATATTTCTTCTTTATTTTAAGTTCCTGTATTCCATATACTCCCGGGGCCTCCTCCTTCATCTTTTGCATCTTTCGCAGATTTGTAGTCAATGTAGTCCAAAAGTCCCCTTGCTTGTATTCCACTGGTGTAAGCTTCCGGTTGGTACTTTCCATCTTTGCTTTCTCTTTTCCTTGTTTGGTCTCCTCCACTTCTTGAGTTATCATTTCCGATTCAGCTGCAGATTCTTTCTCACTCAGGTCCTCAATACATTCAGCAGAGCTGCTTGTTCCAGAGGTCAAGGTCATGAGTTGTTTATTCATAGCCAGACTCTGCTCTTGTAAGATTCCCACCAAATGAAACATTCTTTCAATTTCCACTAGTAACTTTCCATCCACAGCCATTGTAATGTCACAGAGTTCCCCCTAGAGGGAATCTGGTTACTTAATAATCTTTCTCCAATAATCCTCTAACTTGTTATTGTTACTTTATTTCCAACAATTTTAGTTCATTTATAACTGATTTTAGTCCAGAGGGATCTTAGATAACAATTTTTCAACTTTATACTGTCCGTTTGACAGCTTTGACAGCTGTCAAACCCCGTATTGCTCTTCCACAAGCTCAAACACAGGACGCTCCCGGGCCCGGGAGGGGGGGTTACATACACAGAAAAAAAGCTTCTAAAATTCCACTCTTTCTCTCCAGCTCAAAATTTCTTTTTGCCAAATCTTGGAAGTTAATGTCCTTTTTAACTCACCCCACAAAGGGTAGGCTCTCCAGCTTAGTTCTTCTATCGTTGCTTTAGATCGTCTGCAAGAGGGGGGGGGTGCGGACTTCCTTTTAGCACACCTCCCGGTCGTCTCGAATTCACAGGGAAATATTCTTAAAGTCCAATTCCATTTTACTCACGGGTTCCTTTTTCAATCCGAATTTCAAGGAAGGAAGTCAGCGCTCTCCAGTCATGGCTCGCGGCTTCGCTCAGCTGAGGTAGCGATCGACTCTCAGTGCCACGCCACCCTCCGTACCCTCTCCGCAACCTTTAAAAAGGCTCTTCGTGGGTCGGGGGCGCTTAAGGCGCCCACCGAGTCTTCAGTCCGCAGGCTTCAGCGCCTGCGGTTTCTAAGGGTCCCCGCGTCGCCGGCGCGGCAAGACCCGTCCTCAGTTGAGCCAATTCCCTCCGCAGCCCGGAGGGAATCCGCCATTTCCAGATCGCGCCAACCCGGAAGTGTGATATAATTTATTATTTATACCCCGCCCATCTGGCTGGCTCTCCCCAGTCACCCTGGGCAGCTTCCAACAAAGTATTAAAATACAGTGGTCTGTTAAACATTAAAAGCTTCCCTAAACAGGGCTGCCGTCAGATGTCTTCTAAAAGTAAGATAGTTGTTCTCTTTGACATCTGGTGGGAGGGCATTCCACAGGGTGGGTGCCACTACTGAGAAGGCCCTCTGCCTGGTTCCCTGTAACTTGGCTTCTCGCAGTGAGGGAACCTCCAGAAGGCCCTCGGCGCTGGACCTCAGTGTCCAGGCAGAACGATGGGGGTGGAGACGCTCCTTCAGATATACTGGACCGAAGCAGTTTAAGGGCTTTAAAGGTCAGCACCAACACTTTGAATTGTGCTCAGAAACATACCGGGAGCCAATGTAGGTCTTTCAAGACCGGTGTTATATGGTCTCGGCGGCCGCTCCCAGTCAGCAGTCTAGCTGCCGCATTCTGGATTAGTTGTAGTTTCCAGGTCACCTTCAAAGGTAGCCCCACATAGAGCACATTGCAGTAATCCAAGTGGGAGAAAACCAGAGCATGCACCACTCTGGCGAGACAGTCCACAGGCAGGTAGGGTCTCAGCCTGCGTACCAGATGGAGCTGGTAGACAGCTGCCCCAGACAGAATTAACCTGTGCCTCCATGGACAGCTGTGAGTCCAAAATGACTCTCAGGCTGTGCACTTGGTCCTTCAGGGTCACAGTTACCCCATTCAGGACCAGGGAGTCCTCCACACCCGCCCGTCCCCTGTCCCCCCAAAACAGTACTTCTGTCTTGTCAGGATTCAACCTCAATCTGTTAGCTGCCATTCATCCTCCAACCGCCTCCAGGCACTCACACAGGACCTTCACCGCCTTCACTGGTTCCGATTTGAAAGAGAGGTAGAGCTGGGTATCATCTGCATATTGATGGACACCCAGTCCAAACCCCCTGATGATCTCTCCCAGCGGCTGCATGTAGATGTAGAAAAGCATGGGGGAGGGGACATGGGAGGCCGTGCCTCCTGCTTTGCAGGGGTTGGACTAGATGACCCCTGGGTCCCTTCTGTCTCTACAGTTCTATGATCCACCACCACCATCGTCCTGACCCTTTTGGCAGTTTGTCTTTGCTTATTAAATTGGCTTGGTTTTTTGTTTTTTTGCTTCGTTTTATGCCACCTGCAGGATCTTCGCACGACTTAATAAGGACGGCGTCTAATTTGCAAATTATTCATAATGCCCAGAAATTAGAACTTGGAGAGGGAGAGTGCTTTCTGGGGAAACTGGCAACCCCAAACAGTCAATTAGCTCTAGAAGATGCAGATCCCCTTGTGTGCGGAACAGAGCTCTCTCTCACACACACACAGATCCCTTTCACTTTCCTTTTTCTTTTTAACTGAGGGGATGGAGGAAAAGCACAGGAGAGGCCCCCCCCCCAGTAGCTTCACAGATTTGCTACTATGGCATAATGAGCACGTTAAAACGGCTGTGCAAAAAAGAGAGGAGGAAACAACATTTTCATAATACCCGACAGAATCTGCTTTCTTACACCTTTCTGCCAGGTGTTTTTATGTGAGCGCACTTGCTGTCATAAAGCGCTCTGGGTCGTTTGCCAAATGCCCAGGACTCATTTGTATTCACCGCCACGTCTTCTTCCAGGGGGGGGTAACATTCCCTTTCACGTGCGCAAGGCAGCCTCTACCATGAGATCATCTGGGGGGCCGGGCGGGGAGAGAGACATCCATGATGCTCCACGCAAGATTATTATTATTTCTCAAAGAAAGGCTCGCGTCCTTGTTTTCGGCGAAATGAATTCCTGGAAACAAACGTTTTCATGGAAATGCAAAAGATCAGGCCCATCTTACCCACAGAGGCTAGTGGCGCAGGGCACCAGGGTGCCAAGTTCTGGAGGGCACCAGGCGAGAGGCTGGGGAACACTGAACAGGGTGCCAGAAGGCTAAAAGGGAAAAAAACCGAACCGACGCTTGCCGGGAGCAGCGCACGCACCCCGTTCGCTCAGCGCAGGCCTGCTCGCTCGGTGTGCTGCCTACCGTGGCCCCTGCGGCACGAAGCGGACAGCTGAGCCGGGAGGCACCACATCCAGCTTCCGCCTCTTCCCCACTGGGGGAGCCGCCCTCCAGCCGCTGCCCGCCTCCTCCAGCCCTTAAAAAAGTTCGAAGCCCAAAGATCAAGGCTTTCTGGGAAATGATATATAATGAACTGAAAAAGGTATTTAAATATACCTTCCTGAAGAAACCAGAGGCCTTTCTCTTGGGCATGGTTGGCCAATTGGTGCCAAAGAAAGACAGAACTTTTTTTATGTATGCAACAACAGCAGCAAGAATACTTATTGCAAAGTATTGGAAGACACAAGATCTACCCACATTGGAAGAATGGCAGATGAAGGTGATAGACTACATGGGACTGGCAGAAATGACCGGCAGAATCCGAAACCAGGGAAGAGAGACGGCGGAAGAAGATTGGAAGAAATTTAAGGACTATCTCGGGAAATATTACAAAATTAGTGAATGTTAGATTGATGTTGGATAGAATCTAAGTGGTTATCAGCTGTAATGATTAAGATAATTGGGGGGGAGAGAAAAAAAGGTGTAAAATTAAGTGAAAATCAAGGGTGAGGATTTGCTGAACGAATAATTTGAACTGGAATACAAAAAGGGGAGGTATGAGGAGGTCCGAGAAATAAGTTAAAAGAAAATAAGTGAATGAAATTATACGTGTTGTTAATTAAGTGTATTTTTGCTTTTTGTCTTTTTTTGTATAATTTTTGGAAAGTTAATAAATATATTTATTAAAAAAAAAAAAAAGTTCGAAAACTCTGGGAAAGGGGGGGGGCGCTGGAGGGATCTTTGCACCATGGCACCAGATGCGCTTAAGACGGCCCTGCATAAGATCATACCAGAAGCCTGTCAAAGCTACAATCCTCATTCCAAGGCTCATCTGGGAATAATAAGAATATCAATAATTTATTATTTATACCCCACCCATCTGTCTGGGCTTCCCCAGCCACTCTGAGAGCCAGCATGGTGTAGTGGTCAGTGGCGTAGCGTGGGGGGTGCCAAGGGTGCCGGCCGCACCGGGCGCAACATCTGGGGGGCGCGAGTCCAGAGGGAAGGGACAAGTTCCTTCCTCCGCCGGGCTCCCCGCCGCCACCGCCAGCTTTGCGCCCTAGCGCGTGCGCGCCCCCCGCCGCCGCTGCGGCTGCGCTCCACTCACTGCTCGCAGGAGGAGCAGCCGCTGCAGCAGCGCCGACGCCGCCACCGACGCCTGGCCGGCACGGGCAGCCTCCGCACCCCGCCGCGCCGCCGGGCCTCGCCGCGCCCTGCGCTCCCCAAAAACCTCCGAGAGGAAGCCAGTGGGCGGGCGAGGCCCGGCTAAGCCTCTCGCCAGCGGGTTAAGGGGCTTTCGGTTTTAAAAGGATTAGCTTGGGAAGGGGCGGGGGGGCTGCTCGCCGGCAAGATCCTGCTCCGCGTTTCCGAGGGACAGGGAGCGCTTGCAAGGAACGGGCTCCGTGGAGCAGGAGTTAGGAAGAGATCCCTTCCCTGGCAGGCCGCCGGCTTCGCCAGCTGTTTCCCATTCACGATCAGGAGGAACTTCAGGCTGCTTTCAGCTTTGGTAGAGGGAATCTAAGCAAGGGGATGGAGCCGGTGCCCTGAGGAAAGGCGGCAGCATTGGGTTTGTTTTTAGTTTAGAGAAAAGGCAAGCAAGAGGCGACAGGAGAGAAGCCTGCAAAACTAAGGCATGGCAAGGAGAGAGTGGACAGAGAGGAAAGTTTTTATCCCTCTCTCCGTACAATATAACTCGTGGGCATCCAGTGAAGCTGAACGTTGGAACAGTGGCGTAGCGTGGGGGGTGCCAAGGGTGCCGGCTGCACCGGGTGCAACATGGGGGGAGGGCGCGCTCGCACTCGGGTGCTAAAATCCACGGATTAGGGGGCGCAAATTACTTGCCTTGCCCCGGGTGCTGACAACCCACGCTACGCCACTGGTAGTGGTTAAGAGCCGTGGACTCGTAATCTGGTGAACTGGGTTCGCGTCTCCGCTCCTCCACCTGCAGCTGCTGGGTGACCTTGGGTCAGTCACACTTCTCTGAAGTCTCTCAGCCCCACTCACCTCACAGAGTGTTTGTTGTGGGGGACGAAGGGAAAGGAGAATGTTAGCCGCTTTGAGACTCCTTCAGGTAGTGATAAAGCAGGATATCAAATCCAAACTCTTCCTCTTCTTCTTCTCTGGACGGCTTCCAACCAAATATTATAATACATCATATAATGCATCAAACATTAAAAGCTCCCCTAAACAGGGCTGCCTCCAGATGTCTTCTAAAAGTTTGGTAGTTGTTGTTCTCTTTGACATCTGATGGGAGAGCATTCCACAGATTGCTCTGCCCCAAAACTTTTGCAGGCACAAACACTATTGAAAGGGGGGTGTATAACCGCCCTGATACCACCATGAGTACAAGTCATGAGCCCCCCCACAGCTCTGAGATCTCTGGGAAAAGCCCCTCTCTTGGTCTCATCACCCTCACAGGGATATTTGGTGGGGATGCAGGAGAGGGCCTTCTCGGTGGCTGCCCCCAGAATTTGTACTGGCTCACTCCTTGCTGTCCTCCTGCTGGCAGGTGGAGACTGTTCCATTCCAACAGGTTTTTGGGGACTGATTATTAGTAAAAAGAATTCAAAAATTCAAAAAACCTAACAACTTAGTAATGAACTAAAAAATTCATCTGGCTAGGCTAGTCTTAAACAACAACAATGTGATTAGCACGCACCAAGAAGAGTACACGACAGGTACCTTTGTGATGCCGATAGTTAAACATTGGAGGATTCAGGACAGAGAAAAGAAAGCACCTCTTCATGTAGTGAACCTGTGGAACTCATTGCCACAGGAGGCAGTGATGACCACAAACTTGGATGGCTTTAAAAGAGGATTAGGCAAATAATTCATGGAGAGGGCTATCGGTGGCAATGTTTTTGAATATCAGCTGCTGGAAACCGCAGAAGGGGAGAGGGGTTTGGTGCTCAAATCCTGCTTGCAGGTTTCCCATTTAAGCATCTCGCCGGTGGCTGTGAGAACAGGACTAGATGGGCCGTTGGCCTGATCCAGCCTCAGGTCTCTATTCTGATGTTCTCATGTGCACACCTGCGGTATTCAGACAACCCTGCCCCATATCTGTTGAATAGGTGATATAATATCTCCCATGAAGGGGATGTCCCTGCCTGGATCACCTGTATTTTAACAGGTCTGGCTTTTAGAAAATCATTCTAATTTCAATTTTAAACCATTTAATGATTACCCTTTACAGTGATACCTCGGGTTAAATGTGCTTCAGGTTGAGTGTTTTCAGGTTATGCTCCGCGGCGACCCAGAAGTAACAGAGCACGTTACTTCCGGGTTTCGCCGCTTGCGCATGCGCATGTTCTCAAAATGATGTCACGCGCATGCGCAGAAGCGGCGAATTGCGGCATGCGCAGACACAGGTTGCGTTCACTTCAGGATGCAAACGGGGCTCCAGAACGGATCCCGTTCGCATCCAGAGGTACCACTGTATATGTTTTTGGCTTTTTGTGCTTTATCCGTGTTGTTTTAATTTGCATAACCCGCCTTGAGTCCAGGTCTGGGGAAAGGAATAAATAACAACTATCAACATCAGGACTTGTTTTCAGCCAGAACTCAGTTCTGGCACCTCCCAGGTGGGAGCTATTGCCATGCTAAGATGGAGGTGTTCATGGTGAGTTCTGGTGCCTCTTTTTCTAGAAAAAATATCCCAGACCCGCCAAGTGTCCCTATTTTCCAGGGACATCCCTGATTTACAGAAGCCGCCCCGATTTCTGATTTGGTCCTGGAATGCCCCCTTTTTCTTAGGTTGCCACTATTTTCATTGGAGAAATGTTGGAGGGGATGGAGTTATCCTACCCCTGAGCCATCTGAAGGCAATCCTCAATAGGGAAAGTTTTTTTTAAAAATGCTTAATGTTTTATTGTGTTTTATATATATGTTGGAAGCTGCCCAGAGTGGCTGGGGTAACCCAGTCAGATGTGTGGGGTATATAAACAGTAAAATTATCATTATGGAATGGGGTGTCCCTATTCTCATCAGAGAAATATTGGAGGGTATGCTTTTGAATTCTGGTGCTGGAAGAGACTCTTGAGAGTCCCATGGACTGCAAGAAGATCCAACCTATCCGTTCTGAAGGAAAATAGCCCTGAGTGCTCACTGGAAGGACAGATCGTGAAGCTGAGGCTCCAATACTCTGGCCACCTCATGAGAAGAGAAGACTCCCTGGAAAAGACCCTGGTGTTGGGAAAGAGGGAGGGCACAAGGAGAAGGGGACGACAGAGGACGAGATGGTGGGACAGTGTTCTCGAAGCTACCAGCATGAGTTTGACCAAACTGCGGGAGGCAGTGGAAGACAGAGGTGCCTGGCGTGCTCTGGTCCAGGGGGTCACGAAGAGTCGGACACGACTAAACGACTAAACAACAACAACAACAAAAAATGATATCACTCATCATCATCAGGAAGGCACAATAAAAATGACACCTCTATCCATTTCATTACACCCTAAAAAGGAATGAGGAATTACCTGTGGGATATGCCCCTTGTCCCATTTCTCTCAGGGGCGGAAGGTGCCTGTCTGATGCTGGATTCCTTTCCACCCAAGAGGCAAATGCGTTTCGACTTGTCTCCCCCTGAGGGCTCTGGAACGTGTAGACGGCCACCTTTCCAGGGACCCGCGGCCAGTCCTCTTTCATGGGCATGGGGGCTACTTTAGTCACCTTCCGACGGGCCTTTGAGGAATTCGAGCCCATCTTTCCAGACAGCGGTGTGTCGCTCTGGAAAAGAAATAACAGCCAAGGGCCCCAACTCCCAAAACTGCCCTACATTCCATTCCCCAGGTCCATAAGCGTGGAGTCGTCAAAATGGGGGCAAGATCCAAAAGGACAAAACCCGCAGACTGAGAATTCCTCCGTGCAGTGGGGTGACATTTCCAGGTTTCAAGCTGAAGACGAATTCAAAACACAGAGTTCAATGTCCACCAGGAAGGGTGAAGCCCAAGAACGGAAAAAATTGACAGGTTTTCAGAGCCACTCGTTCGACCGAACACCTTTTGAGATGAAACTGGATTTCTAACGCAACCTACCGATGGTCTCCCAGTGGAATTTTCCCCTCAGGACGCTCCCTGACGCACGGGAGAGCCAAAAGTGCACCCATTCCCATGGCAACTCCCTCACAGACTCTTCCCATCTCCACACTTTGGTAAGTCCAGTTAAACATTGACCTGGTCTGGGAACTTCCTGTTATGAAAGAATGAGCCGTCTCACGGGGACTGAACATTAAGCCAGCCTGGAGCATTCCAGTGGATTGAGGAGACGAGACCGAGAGTGGGTCCAATGGTCAAGAAGGTGGTTTCTGCACATACTGTAGAGGGAAGTGAGGGGCAGGTGGGGCTTGTCCACCTGGGAAGGGAGACCATCCAGGAGAAGGAAGACTCTGATCCTAAACCTCTGCTAGCTTGCGGGATATGTGTGCTGGGCCCGGGGGTTAACCTGAGCCACACGGTCCAGGTCCAGTCCCGAATCCAAGGATTCCGCGAGGAGTCAGTCCAACAGGGCCAAGGCAGGAAACCGGGCTAGGTCAGACACAGGCAGGTTCCAGCAAGCAGCAATGTTGCTCCCGCAACCTGGGGTGGGGTCTGGCAGCCTTTTATCTCTGACGGGGTAACGGCCGGTCCTTATCCCCCAGTGACTCACCTCCCTGTTTCGCCCGAAGGCGAGCACTCCTCCTCCGAGTACTCAGGTCTCTCCTTCTCTCAGACCTGAGTCTCTGCAGCTAGGGAGATGTTGGTTGGGTTACTAGACCCAGAGGCCGCCTCAGCCTCTCCTCACCCAACTGGTAGTGGAGCAGCTGTACATGATTGCCCAGCTGAAGGCAATGAGATAATTCCTGCATCTGGAGCCAGGGCAGGCTCAGGCCCCTGACTCAGCCCAGTTGGTGCTTTTTGCAGGGGAACCTGTGCAGACTGGGGCTCTTCAGAATCAGGCCCAGACTTGGTTCAGATGCCGCCTGAGGCAAAGGATCCAGTGCGGACTGAGACTCCTCTGGCTCCGAGCCCCAGTCCCAGGCCATCACAATACATTTGGGAGAAGAAAAATCTAAGGAGTAAACCCTACACAAATCCAGAGTGGAGTCCCTAAGACAGTTTTGTGGGGTGTAAAAATCACAGAGCAGTCAAGTACAACATCCCTAGAGTGGACATAAAAGGGGATGTCTGGACCAGCCAGTCGGAACTTCCTGTTTCTCCTAGGCTGGGACAGACTTCCTCTGCATGTGACTAGAGGTGGGCGTGACCTCACCTGCCCAGGTAACAAAAGAGCAGGACTGGTCAACCATCTCTCTCTCTCTCTCTGACCACATTCGTCAAAGAAGCAACATCTGCTTAGCCTAAGATGTTCTCCTTATGGGATAGTTTCCAGGTATATATTACTTTTCTAACTTAAGTCTGCCTTCTGGGATCCAATCGTGAACAGAATGTGAATGAGTAAACTATTTTTTTATACTTTTATAGAAGACTGTGTCGTGTCTATCTTTTTATGAGGGTCTAAATGGGGAATTACCAAAAGGAAAACGTATTTTAGAGGCTTTAGCGAGCCTGAGCAAACGCATCGGCTGTGCAAGTATAAAAAGGGGAATGTTACTCTGTTAAATTGTAGAACTTGTTAACACAAGTTGGAAAGGATATAATCAAACAATATATCCTCTCCTGCATCCCTGAACATTCCCACAAGTTAGATGATGCCTTGTACACCTCCTTTCAGCAACTCCTGCAGCCAAAGTTGGGGCCAAACATATTGCTCTGCTTTTCCTTTGGACCTCATCAATGTGGTCTTGTCATCTGGGCAACCCCGGAACTCCAGACACACTGCCCAGGATTGTGCCCCAAGGAGGTCACTCCCTTGCTGCTAATGCAGCGGTTTGACTTTACCCTTGGAGGCACACTCCATTGTCGCTCGAGGCAGGCGGCTGACAACAACCAACGACAACAATGGAGGCAGAACATTGCCACCACAGCTATGAGCCACGGATAGTCAACCATTAATATGTCTAATTGTCTTTTAAAACTATCCAACAGCAAAACCCCAGTGAGACACCTTATGTTGGAGAAGCCTGCGAAGGAATTGGCGGTATCTTGTGGATGCATTTTTGATGGAGTCTCTATCTCCCGTTACTTTTCAGTAAGATCTTATCCAAGCTCCAGAAACCGCCCCAGATCCTGCAGCTGATGGAGGCAGCAACTCATGAAGCAGTAACTGGCCTCGAGTCACCTAGTGAGCTTAATGGCTAAGGTTTGAACCTGGATATTCGCCCATGTGGCTTGGTGGCACTACAACCAATACACACACCCCTGGCTATTTTCCAGAAGGGGTTATTGTTTGAGCCTGTTGTTGTTGTTGTTGTTGTTGTTTAGTCGTTTAGTCGTGTCCGAATCTTCGTGACCCCATGGACCAGAGCACGCCAGGCACTTCTGTCTTCCACTGCCTCCCGCAGTTTGGTCAAACTCATGCTGGTAACCTCGAAAACACTATCCAACCATCTCGTCCTCTGTGGTCCCCTTTTCCTTGTGCCCTCCATCTTTCCCAGCACCAGTGTCTTCTGCAGGGAGTCTTCTCTTCTCATGAGGTGGCCAAAGTATTGGAGCCTCAGCTTCAGGATCTGTCCTTCCAGTGAGCACTCAGGGCTGATTTCCTTCAGAATGGAGAGGTTTGATCTTCTTGCAGTCCATGGGACTCTCAAGAGTCTCCTCCAGCACCATAATTCAAAAGCATCAATTCTTCAGCGATCAGCCTTCTTTATGGTCCAGCTCTCACTTCCATACATCACTACTGGGAAAACCATAGCTTTAACTATATGGACCTTTGTTGGTAAGGTGATGTCTCTGCTTTATTGTTTGAGCCTAGAGCTTGCCAATCAGAAGGTCGGCGGTTTGAATCTCCACAACGGGGTGAGCTCCCGTTGCTCAGTCCCTGCTCCTGCCAACCTAGCAGTTCGAAAGCACGTCAAAGTGCAAGTAGATAAATAGGTACTGCTCGGGCGGGAAGGTAAACGGCGTTTCCGTGCGCTGCTCTGGTTCACCAGAAGCAGCTTAGTCATGCTGGCCACATAACCCGGAAGCTGTACGCTGGCTCCCTCGGCAATAAAGCAAGATGAGCGCCGCAACCCCAGAGTCGGCCACGACTGGACCTAATGGTCAGGGGTCCCTTTACCTTTACCTTACTTTGCAAACCTTGCCCAACAGCCTGCACAAGATTGCCAGTATCCAGGAGGGAAGTGGGGATCTTCCACAAGTTGGCCAGTGGACCACAGTATCCCTGCTCCCCCCCCCAAAGAAAACTACCATAGTTCAGTGGCAGAGCCAGTGTGGTGTAGTGTAATCTGGTGAACCAGGTTCGAGTCTCCGCTCCTCCACATGCAGCTGCTGGGTGACCTTGGGCTAGTCACACTTCTTTGAAGTCTCTCAGCCTCACTCACCTCACAGAGTGTTTGTTGTGGGGGAGGAAGGGAAAGGAGAATGTTAGCCGCTTTGAGACTCCTTCGGGTAGTGATAAAGCGGGATATCAAATCCCAAATCCCAGAGCCGAAGTCGTTCACCGCCGGCCAGTTAAAAGGATCGCTTGTGCACATGATGAGAAAGAGCTGGCAAGCTGTTGCCAGTCAGTGCAGACCATATTGGGCTGGATAGATAGCCTGTTCTGCTCGAAGGCAGCTTCCTCTGCAGATCCCTGCCTCCAACATCCCACAACACTTGCTCTGCAGCGCATCCACCCACCCCACTCCCCACATAAGCGATTGTTAGGCTAGGGCACCCCGCAAGCTGGGGAACGATCGTTTTAGCAGCACTGCTGCATAATGCAATAATGAAATTCATGACTCCGAGCCACATTCCCCAGCGCAGGTTACTCACCCACACGAAAACACTCTTCATGCTCCACCAGCTTAATGTCTCTACCGCAAAGCGTTTGCTCTGCAGTTGCGGGTGGTTTTCCTTACCAGCTGGGTGGGAAATGCATTTTCGCAGGGAGGGGGGAAAACAACAGGGGAAGGAGAGGATGAAGAGCTGGCAATGGGGTTAGGAAAGTCATGTTCAGATACTGTTTTGCGATGGAATAGCATTGCAACCGAGACCCCTGAACCTCAAAGTCAGTTTGCAGATAAATTACCAGGAACTTGCCATTTGTTTTACGCATTGTGCGCCAGTTACTAGACGTCCTTGCGCACTTGTTATGCATTTTGCAAGGAAATAATCCGCCAACACACACTTGCAGTGTTGCTGCAAAGGAGGTATTCTTCCCCCCAGCGAGTTGGGAAACTGCTGAATATTGACACTGACAATCCAGTTTGGTGCATCCTCAATTAGAATTAAGTCCTGCTGAGTTTGGTGGGGTTTACTTCCGTGTGTGCATAAGAACGCACACCCTCAAGGTCTGCATGCATAAAACCCATCTTTTAAATTCTGGAATCCTGCAATTCAGCTTTTGGGCAAGGAAGAGAGAAGGGGAGGGGGGAGAGAGATTTATTCCAACACGTTTCTCCCTTTCCCGGACAGCAGACTGGCCACCAGATTGCAGCATTTAAAGGGTGATGAATGTGCAGCCTTGCTTATTGCGTCAATGTGAGGAGTTAGGAGTGCAGAACTGCAGACTTGGAAGGGGTCTCTAAGGGTCAACTAGTCCAACCCCTTGAAATGCAGTAGTCAAAGCTGAACAATCCCTATCAGATGGTCCCCCAACCTTTATTTCAAAGACAACTTACTGTCACAGAAATAAGGTGGGTTCTAAAAATATGCCCAAGCAATTTTGCAGCCAGCCCTTGCTGATTTTGGGTGGCAGTGGGGAGGCAACCAGATACAGTGGTACCTTGGTTCTCAAACGCCTTGGTACTCAAACAGCTTGGAACCCAAACACTGCCAACCGGGAAGTAAGTGTTCCGGTTTGTGAACATTTTTCGGAAGCCGAACGTGCTCCGTTTTGAGTGTTGCGCTTCTGATTTGAGTGCCACACTTCCATTTGAGTGTTACGCCGAGGTCTGTCTGTTTTTGTTATTTATTTTGCATTTTTCTGGCTCTTTTTTTGTTTTTGTGACTGTGTGGAACCCAGTTCAGCTACTGATTGATTGACTGTAGTACATTGTTTATTGACTGTAGTACATTGTTTATTGCTTTCATTTTACGGATCATTGGTCTCGTTAATTAGTAA